CTCAATACATGTAACCGTACATATGAAGTAGAGCAAGGCTCGAGCTTTCAAGCTTCCAGCTGCTGTGACTCGGCATCAGATGTCGCCCACAACTTCAAAAATAATATGCAATCTGATACACCCCCGTTGGATCGCCAGATACTCCCGGAGATACTCATGTCATCTACGCGCGCTATAATGAGGGATAGTGCTTCGAATATGGGCTGACCTGCGAGCCGCAGGATGCGACCCAAAGTGTTCAGGCCTTAGAATGTCTATTTTGCTAGCCTCGCTTCCAGCGCCTTTATTTGAAAGGCATTTTTCATTACCCGAGCCCAGCTCGTGGATACTTTTCAGCGAGAAGCTTTAGCCTATGATAGGCATGCGATTGTTCGTTACATTTCGTTATTTGCTGAGAATTGAAGTCGATTTTTCGTGAGGCCACTTTCCCCGGTTAGATTGATATCAACGAATTGTGTTCGCTTGTAGTGCGAGGCCTGGGTGAACGGAGGGCGAGCTCAAGTAACTCACGAGCAGTTTCGTAGGAAATAGAGGGTTAACTCAATGAATTGGGTTCCAAGGTCTTCGCCTATGAGTGATACAGCAAATCATAGACATGATGCGCTCTGTGATGTCTTCGAACTCACGCTCTCGGGTGAGGAATTACAGATTCGGTACGTCTGGTCGCACATGCTTCACTTATCGGGACCATTATCCCTCATGTTGATGTGTTATAGATGACCCGAATTCAATATATGGCTCGATCGTTATGAGCCAACTATGATCGAGCATGTTGTCCATTAATCACGATATCTATTGGTTTTGCTCAGCTCATATGGACCGCGTTTGGGTGTGGGAAATGACGTATGTTTTGGTAAAGTCTAGACAGTAATACGCTACATCAACATACTCCATTGACAAAGTGTGATACATCGTCGGAAGCACATCTTCGCTGGAGTCTCCACTGGAGACTCTCCAGTCTGGCGATTCTCAAGCTCTTTGCGTTGTAGATGGCTCGCGAAAACCACCTCCGTTCCAAAACCGCTAATATTCGTCAATAGAAAGCCTTTCTGCCACGTTGTTATTCCGTGAACCTCAGTAGAGAGGTTTGTAACAGTGTGATGGGACTGTCCCATTCAACGGTGTGTCCCAATTTGGGACACACCGTATGTCACTGATGAGCGAATGAAACTTTCGGACTGAGGACGATCGTATTGCTTGTCTAGTAGCAGGCATATCTCGCAATGGCTGCTAGAATGTGTGAAACCCACAGCGTGAAGCTCTCACACAGAGCCAGACTGTCACGAATCGTGACTCACGATGTTGCAGCAGGGATCTTATACCATTCTCAAGGCTGCTGGTGCTCCAGCGTGCTTCACGTGAGAACCTCGGCACTTGAGCCATATGTAGTTACTAGATGTGAGAATACTGATTACTCACTACTATATCTATGGCCTCACATACAAGTCAACAAAGTTATTCCGTACATGCTCGAGACTCAAATGGAATGCTCATAAAAATTAAATGCCCCGGGAATCCCGACGTGCAAAGTTACTACTACATCCCGACTCGGGATGTAGTAGAGA